TTTGGCTGTCCCTATCTGGTCCATGGCGGCGACAACAGAGGCTATAATACCATCCCTATTGGTTTGATCCTTCCCAATAGTCCAGTTTCACATGTGGCCTCTGAGAAAATGAATTGCTCACTCCTGGTCTAAGAGGACCCCAGATTTTTCCCAAGGTCTGTTTGAGGCAGTGTGTAATCCCATCCAGTATCAAAGATAGTAAGGTCTCAGGTCCAGGGGGGCTCAACATCTGAAGCCACTGCATTTTGCCAGGGCTTACTTGAAGATTATTCCCCTTTCAGACCCCCATAACCTCCTGACTCCCAAGATACGACATCCACAGCATCACTAAATTCACCAATGGTGATGTACAATTGAGCATAATCCACATATAATGATCTCATTCCATGAGGCCCCTTCCATGAGAGAAATAGACATTCTCTACATTTCTAAATCATAACGTTCCTGATAGAATCATTAAAAACAATGAGGACTTTCTTATCCAACTCTGATAAAATGGGGAAAGGATAGAACAGGAGGAACAGACATATACTAGTAATGAAATAATTGTAGGACAATCCTTCATTGAATATAATAAAGCTGGTTGGTGTAAATATGAATGGTATTAACTGGGTCTTCCATATCATACACTTAATAATAATTAGAAATAATAAATATTCTATAGTTGTTCATACCAGAGACAATGCAATCCATTACTTGTTTTATTTGTACATATATGTTCTTTGTAGGAAATAATTTTTCATGGTGGGAGCTTTCTCACTTATAAAATCAGTATTAATTATTGTATTTCACTTTGAATATGCTTTTTGGAGAATTGAGAAAATGCCACATGAACATGGTGCTTAGTAACGCTACAACTTTAGATTGCTGATATTTGATAATACATTCTATTAAAATGTGATAATTTCCAACTCTCTATATAAGTGTTTGAGGGAGCATGAATTAAGCATATCAACATATTTGCCTTCATTTGTAAACCTATCTAAAAGACTATTATAAGTTGTTTTTAATTCCAGGTAAAAATGAAAGTATTATTATTTTACAGGATTAAAGAAAAACAAGCTGTAGTCACATTTCAAGAGCTAGTCTTAGAATGAATGAAATATGTTCATTTAGTCCTGGATCAAAATAATTTGAATATGAATATTCTCTGTTTAGTGTTGTAGATTTAATTTTTATTTTAATCATTAGCCACTAGTTGCTTGTGGTCATATTTAACCAATCTTTTGCCAAGTACCTGTGGCATAAAGCAGTGTTTCTCGACCTTTTCTTCACCATGGGCCCCATTTAAATGCATTTTGTGGCCACGAACGCCCAAGACTTAACTCAATATTTAAATAATCTTCAAGCCATTGTGAAGCTTCTGATGACATCGTGTTCTCGCAGCAGTCCACAGATCATAGGTTGAGAACCACTGCCATAAAATATTTGGGAAAGAGATGAAGATCTTCTAAATTTTGCTGAATAAGCATCAGTGAATTACTTTTGACTATAAGGGAATATAATTGAAAATATGTTTTTTAATACGGTTAATATTTCAATTCACACCTCAAGTTTCTTTAAAAGATATGGGGCAGCTTTTATTAAGACTTTGTTTAATGTATTATATTATAGTTTCTGTACATGAGAGTTATATAGTACTTTTTTTTCTCCAGAGATTTTCTGCTTCTAATTATGAGGTTCTCTTAAATCAGCAGAAATGGGATGTTGAAATATGAAACCATAATATCTGGGAAAATTCTACAGCATTTAACTGGCTATCTCCCTTATTGAGCTGTTGCAGAAAAATTCTAACAAGTTAGAACATTTTTTAACATTTGTCCTTTGTGTTTTAACAGTTGGAAATGGAAGATGAAGACACTATTGATGTTTTTCAACAGCAAACTGGTGGCATATGCTAAATGTCCTTTTCATTTCGGAAAAGGAATACAAAATATCACCCACTTCATCATCTGTCCTTGGATTTGCTATTAAATAGTAAACAAATGAACATGCCAATCATACAGGAATCTTCTCATGTTCTGAGGACATTTATCCAAATCTTTTTTCCTGTCCCTGATATTCTGCGTGTGCAAGTTGAAGCTGTATCTATGGAAAATAACTTCATAAAAATGGGCCCAGTAAAAAATTAAATTTTTAAATAAGTAATTACTGGTTATTTACTGTCATCTTGTTCTTCTAAAATGGTGACCTAAATACCAACCTACTGTACAATGAACATACTTAGTGCTGCCTTTAGTTATTGTTTTATCGCTTAATTATGACAATGTAAATATTGAAATACTTTTTCTTTCTGATAGGATTTTTTTTCTCAAAGGATGTTTGGGACAGAAGAAAAGAATTATCATAAAGAATTATTACTCTAAAACTGTTAATGGGGGATATATGCAAAGAGCAATACTTGCAGAATGCTGATTATAGTGGCAGTTAAAGGTAATGCAAATGTACATGTGCTTTTTCATAATAAAATAGTATAGAATCAATTTTTAAAGTAATGGGAAGTTATTGAGTTTGTCAGCAGTTACACTATTTGCATACATAATATTACACATTTACTATAAATTTCACATATCCAGGGTAGAGTACCAGACTTTGATAATTTTTAAATTAATTGATCAGGATGTTTTAAGAAGGTCTGTGTAATTCTTGTTAATTGTGCAACTCCTTGTGCAGGAGAAACTCAGTAGATAGTTTTCACCCCAAACATTTCTTCAATGATTTATTGGACAATAAAAGCTATATATCTTTTTTGTTAAAAGTTGAGCTTATAGGCTCATTGCTTTATAGCCTTGTCTGGGAGTCAAACAGCTGTGTATTGTATTCTGCCTCTGCATTAGGATCTTAAACTTCCTTTGTTGCAACAATTGCCTGGGAAACCCAGTGAAGCAGAATGCAATGCTAGAGTTGAATTTATTTTCTGTTGAGTAAATTAAATCTTAACTTTAAAAAACAAGGAATTTCAATATTAGTGACTTAAATTTTCAAGTATACCATTGGGAAAATATTGAATATGAGGGACCTGTTTCCCAAATATCTCACATTTAAATGACTTTTAGTAGTAACATGATTTGGATGCATCTAAATTAAAACTATTTTGTTTACTTTTTGTATGCTTTTTCATTGCTACTTGGGAAAATATGTTTCTGCTTTTATATCTATATTTAACAGTACTGGTTTGCAAGAAACCCTTTTGAGAAGATTGCCTATCCTTTACCTATTCCCTATAATTGTAAATGGTCCAGGAAGGGATATTCATTTAAAATTGTTAATTGTTTATTCAATTGTACAATACTTGTCCTTTATTACTGTACACAGTAAACCTAATTTGGTACTCTGTCTCTTGGCTTATGTTTAATGCTGCTGAATTTCATATGACTATATTCAAAGCTGTATCACTGAAATGCTGACAATATTCATATGCACATCTTTATTAAAATTCTTTTATTGAGAGTGGATTTAATATTTAGGGTATTAATACAACAAGCAAAGAAATACAATTTCAGTGACAGTGGTCCATCTTGAAGATTCTATATTTGTTACTTTGTAGAAAATGCTCCTATGTTACTTCCTTGTTCTAGCTTGATCTCATTGCATATTAGAAATGTTTACTATAAAAGAGAAAATCACAATAGTGAATTATAGAGTAAGACCATGTTTTATATTCATTTTTCCAAAAATGGTTGCCCACTAAGTATACCTAATTTGTTCCTTATGTTCTTAAATTTTATATGTCCAGGCCAGTCTTTACACATTTTCTGAATTTAATATTTGATGCCATTAAGTATTGCTTCTTCCAAAATTTTCATTTGGAAGTGTCTGTGTAACTAAATTACATATCTCAATTTTCTATTAGATAATTATTTGATTCCATCTGGCGATAACCAAATAGCTTGATTTAATTTACACTCCACTTTTCTCTAGAGTGCAGGGTTGACTTCACTGAAGTGAATTGATTTAATCCAACAATAACCTGGTACTGTAGAGAAAGTGATTAGGCCAATTTTTTTATGGTTGAGATTTAAGTTTGGGTTTCCTCGTTAACTACTAATATAACTTAATTTCTATTAGTTGAAGCAAATACTAGCAATTAAAGAACTTTGCAAAAGAAACCTGAACCTGTTTCTTGTGTTTCTTGGTTGATGCTACTCATGAAAGTATTCCTTTTCAATCTAATGATTCAGAAAAATGTTAACCAACTCTTTAAAGAGCTATGTGAATGTCTTCCCATGATGCTCAGTAATGAAACATGAGAAATAGGTAGGATTGAAATACTTTTTAAAAATACTAGAAACGTTTGTGGTTATATATGAGAGGATATTATTTTGGTATGCATGCAAATTGAAGGGATTTTCCCTGTAATAGACAAAATTGAGTTAAGAAAATGTAATAGGTTCCTATAAAACTGGTGATCTGCAATTATATACACATAATAGGCAAGAACATAACGTAGCTCAGGATTGAATTGTGCAGTCCTTTGTGTTCTGTTTCGCTTGCAGATATTTCATTACCCAATTAGAGGCCACCCACCAGCGAATGAGAGTCATTTTTGATGACATACTAAGTTCGAGGACAACAGGATTAATGAATACACGAAATGTTTGAACGAACTCACAGTAATTTCCGTGGGGAGGACTAGAAATTAGCCTCATTCAGAGGCGGGGAAGACTTCTTTAAAAAATACGAAGCGCCTGCCCTGTCTAGACACGCCTATTAAAGAAATATAAATATACGTCATGCTTCCTTATAGAGATAAGTGCATTGTGTAGAAGGGTATTTTTAGGATTCGCATTATATCAAATATCGAGACAGAAGGGAGGAAACATTTTTCTCCACGTCCGCAGTGAAACAGAATATATCTCTCAGTTGGTCCCAGTTCCGGCCTTTGCCCATAGCAACAACGTCTATGACATTGCTATGGATCACTCTACACGTTTTGTAGCTCTGCATGCTGATTGCGAAGCGAGAGGGAGTAGATCTCGGTTGTGGTTGGTCTCGGGTTTTTTTTTTATGGTAAAAGCCGCCCGGAAGTACCGCTTCGGACAAGCTAGGGAGAAAAATAACCAAACCGGCCAAGTTAGAAGGGCGGCCGGGCTTTCTCGAGGCTACCTGAGCCATGGCAGGCACGGCGCTCAAGCGCTTAATGGCGGAGTACAAGCGTGAGTAGTTAGCTTTTGTGTGCGGAAACAGAGAGATCGGGGTGGATTGACTGCTTCTCAGGTGACGCTGGCTGTTTTTCTAGTACGCTCATGCGTTGACTCTTCTTGGGCCCCTGGAAATTGTCCTTACGACGCTTTTGCCTGGCACGGGGGAGAAAAGGGGGTCGGGGGTTGCGTGTCTTACTATCGGCTGCTATGGGTGAGCAGGAGGCGGGCTGCCGCTCTTTGGCCTGTCGCTCTTCTTTCAGATATCTCCCCCATCCCCAAATTTGCCAGGTCAAATTTTATACTAGGGCAATGTTTTTCAAACTTGACAATTTATAATGCGTAGACTTCAGCTCTCATAATTCCCCCGCCAGCCTGTTGCCAAGGGTGAAAAAGATTGAACTGGGAAACAAAATAGAAGGCAGGGGGAGAATTAAGCCGGGAAAATCCAATGATTGCGCTTCTCAGCCCAGAAATTCTTTTTCCTGATCTGCTCAGGACTGGGGCGATTTAACACTAGAGGACAATATTCTTCTGCCTTTGAAATGAGTAATAGAATAAACGTCATTAGGTCAGAGCCACTTGGAAGATTTTAACCAGCTTGATTGCAACATTTGAGCCTGCAAGATACTGTGCGATGCTTTCAGATATCAGGAATTTAGATTAGGAATTAGGAATCAGATATCAGGAAGGTAGCAGGTGTTACTTTCTTTAAATGTAATTTTTTTGGTATACAAATTTATCTGAAAACTAGATAACCTATGAGATCATGAGTTTCACAACAGTAATGGGTCCTGGATGTTTTATGCATTCTTTAAGTTAGTGGATTTGATTAAAAAAATATTGTGACATAATGCACCAGGAACAGGAGCTACTTCCAAACTACCTGTTAGCTTCCCCAATGACTTTAGTTTGTGGGAAGCTGGCAGGGAGTGTGGGAAAAAATAGTCATGCATATGAAAGCAGCAGACCATGGTGCTGCTACATGGCACTGCAGTGGTGCAGCAGGGGCCAATAAAAATCATCTGAAAATCCTTAAAATTTAAATTCCATGGGAATCATGAGTCCCTATTTTTGGACACGTACTGTAAGTTTATCCATTTGAGGTTCATAGAACAAATAAAGTGTTCTATAATACACTGTTTCAACCAACTGAAGGTTAAAAACAGATGTACAAGAGAGTTTTAATAGTGGCTGTTTTCTTTTTCATAAGGAAACAAATATGGGTTTGTCTGGATTAGTACAGTTCATTAACCACTTGGCAATGTTTTGTTATTGAATGTGTAAACTGGTTGTGGTTGTGAACTGCCTATGTTTAGGACAGCTTGAAATAGTAAATGTAAAAAAAGAAAGTGGCATTTCATATAAATCAACAGAGAGATTATTTCCATATTAACTGATCCTTAGAGTGTAAAGTATGGTGACTGAACCAGCAATGTTTCCTGATTCAGGATTGAACTACAGTGGTGAAGCTTATGTTTTGATTACAGAACAGTCTAGCCCAGTGGTTGGCAACCTTAAACACTCAAAGAGCCACAAAGGCCCTAACCGAAAGCCCCCATTCAGTCGGCTCCCCATGGGGGCTCCTCGTGGAGCCAGCTGGCAGTCCAGCTCCCCCACCATAGAGTCTCCTTCTAGCGCGGCATCCTTTTTCCTCTATCTGTCCTAACCTAAAGTCCTATCAATTGTGGAGCCAAACGGCAACAGGGAGCTGCAGCAGAGGAATGGAAGAGCCACATGCAGCTTCAAAGCTGTGGGTTGTTGACCCCTGGCCTAGCCTAAGATCAGCCCTTTCCATCTTTTCACTAAGTCTGAATCTTTGGAGAGTTTGTGTCTTTCACCATGTGTTCTAACTGTTCGTGACAAGTTCTTAAGTATATATGTACAAACAAAGTATATATATGTAAAAGCGATAATTCTAATAAGAAACAATAGCAATAGCAATAGCAGTAGACTTATATACCGCTTCATAGGCCTTTCAGGCCTCTCTAAGCGGTTTACAGAGAGTCAGCATATTGCCCCCAACAATCTGGGTCCTCATTTTACCCACCTCGGAAGGATGGAAGGCTGAGTCAACCCTGAGCCGGTGAGATTTGAACCGCTGACCTGCTGATCTAGCAGTAGCCTGCAGTGCTGCTTTTAACCACTGCGCCACCTTGGCTCTTCACTCTTAAACAGTCTTTTATTGTTTCAGTGTCTTATTAAATAAACTAGAGCTAGGTAAATAAACTAGAAATAGCCTCCAGATGTTCTACTAATTTTTGGCAGCATAAACTCTTGTGAAGGATAATGGGAAATTTAGTCAAAAAATAATACCAGGAGAACTCTATATTAGCTATCTCTGAGATAAAGGGTAGAATGAAATTGACGAGTGCAATGAACTCTGTATATTGTAACCTTGTTCAGTCTTGCCTTGAAATGTGATTAACTTTAAATATCAGGACTTCATGAATGGCAGTCATGTATTCTATCAGTTAACCATTAATTCATATGTTTAAAGGGCCATGATGATTCAGTATAAAAAAGTCATAATTTAATGGTCGTTTGAATTTATGTAGCATCTTTTCCACTAGAGAGAGCAATAGCTCCTCTTTTCATTTTGGTTGGTGTCTCTCATTCTCTTTTTCACCTACCTTATTTCCCCCCCCCCCTAAAAATTATTGAGGAGCTAAATTTTTGGATGAAGATGAGACATTTGTTGTTAAAGATTTCACAGGAAATAGCAAATCTAATAATTATCAATTAACAATATGTATGATAGATACAAATTAATGGAAATGTCTTGTATGCTAAAAAAGATTATTTTTTAACATAGATAACTTCAAAGAGAAAAAGCAGGAAGCTTTTCCAGAATTGTTCAGACTACACTGCCACTGTAATTGTACAATATGTGCATAATGAAGATTCAGTTTGTGCTCATTGCATCCCACTCTTTTATAAATGTATTTGGGAATGTCCTCTTAAAATATGTATTGTTCACTTTTATTCTAAAGTTTTCCCTTTTTCTTATTTGACTATTATTACTAGGCAGAAATTATCAAGGTAATGTAATTTTCCTGGCCAACTTCTTGGCCAATTTTGTTTTTATGTTCTGAAAAGTATGAAGTATAAATAAATTAATATTGAAAATGTTTATTCTTCATTTTAGAGTTGACTTTGAATCCTCCTGAAGGCATAGTAGCAGGTATGACATTCTATTTAAAAATATACCTGTATCTTGCAATTAGAAAGCCTATATTAACATAATATTTTTTTTTAAATAGGGCCTATGAATGAAGAAAATTTCTTTGAGTGGGAAGCTTTGATAATGTAAGTTATTTGAATAGTGTATATTTAAATTATGGATGTACTTCCACTATTGAACATTGTAAATTTAAAAAAAATGACTGTGAATTTTCTAATAATCAGAATGTCAAATTTTAGAATTCTTCTGGAACACTTCAAACCTTGTTTATCTGTCTATCCACATAAGTTACTATTATGCTTGCAAGTTTCTAGAGTTCTATAATGCACTAATTTTTGTCTTAATAAGAAAAGATTTTGTAAGCCATCGACAGTCGATGGCCCTAACAACTCTATATAAATAAATAATAAAATAGGCTTCGTTTTATTTGTTCATACATGTTTGCATTGGTCTCCTCTACAATGTCTAAAAGAATCTTCAATGTTTATAGTACGATAGAAGCATTATTATACCGGTAATAGTTTATATAGCATACAGGAACCCAAGATGAATTGTAGATATGAAGACACCAGTTATCTTCCTGGACAAATTTATAATGTGGAAGGAAAATGCAATCATTGGGAAATGCAATTTTAATACAAAAAGATGAAATTACTTAGCAAATTTCTAATGCATAGTTTTTAGTCTCTTATATTTTGCATCCCACCAGTTACTCAGTTTATTATTAAAATAATGTGATGAATGACTTATGGTATTCCTCACTACAACTGCCTTCAGCAATGAGCTAAGAGACAGGGAGCACTCTTTCTGCCATGTTCCGGCGTTCATGTTGCATACAAACAGAGATTCAGTTTGTTTGGTGAAAAACTTTTATCTCCATCTAAGAAACTATGTGATCTGCTCTTTCAGGGAGGTGGTACAGTTCCATTCAAAACAGACTCTATCCATTTTTTAAAAATCATTCACACTTATATTTTGTCTGGATTAAATTTCAGCTTGTTCTTTTGTATTTATGCTATTATTGAACTTAGGCGACTCTGGAAGGGTACCAATTGCTTTCTTAGAATGGGTTGGTGAGAGGAGTGGGTATCATTAGCATACTGGCGGAACTGTACTTCAAAGTTCCAGAGAATCATACAATACAATACAATAGCAGAGTTGGAAGGGACCTTGGAGGTCTTCTAGTCCAACCCACTGCTCAAGCAGGAGACCTTATATCATTTCAGACAAATGGTTGTCCAATCTCTTCTAAAAAGCATCCAGTGATGGACACCCACAACTTCTGGTGGCGTTGTTCCACTGGCTAATTGTCCTCACGGTCAGGAAATTTATCCTCAGTTCTAAGTTGCTTCTCTCCTTGATTAGTTTCCACCCATTGCTTCTTGTTCTCCCTTCAGGTTCCTTGG